AAATAGTTGTTTTATTATCAGTAGTTTTGACAACTTTGCTGTGATATTGCGAAATTCTCATCATAAATATATTTAAGATTACAGAGTGTAGATTACTTTTGTACTTTTATAAAAGTACACGAGATCTTTGTATAAATTTGCTTCAAAAATGATCATATGTATGATAATAATAGCTGCATGTAGCATTTCACTCCTCCAATTTAGTAAATTTAATATTCTTTTATTATACCTACATTTGTCACTTGCATGACTTTTAATTCTAAATTTTTGAATAATACAAAAAAAGTGTTCCAGTTCCAAAGAATATTAATTTAAACAGGTTTAACTCTAAGCTGATACTCTATGGTAGTCAACGCATTTGGTTCCAAATTTAAATCGTTTTCGGCGCATCCAAAATGGCGTTTAGTGTACAATTAAATCTCCCCCATAGATTTAAGCAATTCAGAAACAGATACAAAATAATAATAAGAAGGGTACTTAAGTGGGGGATGGCCACCAGGTGTGCACTCGACAGGGTTGCAACCCTTATATACAGATTATATAACGTTTGATTAATGTTTAATATGACGCTTTTATCTATTTAAATGGCAGATTATGGCAACTTTAGTAAATAAGGGTAGTATTATCGCGTTTACAATTTTTGAATATTATTTATTGAAATGAAAATAACTTAGATCGCACGTTGTTGGGGAGTTTTAAATGTTGGAGACAATTTGAAACGTAGCTTCACCTATTTTTTACCCCTTAATGTAAATCGTTAATATCATAATCAATATAAACATAATCAACACAAAATCAGAGGAATAACATTTTTGTCTTATCAAATATTACGTTATTTTCACATGGTTTGACACATTCTCATTACTTGTTGCGCACATTTTAATTCGTTAATTTACCACCCTATCTTCTTAATTTGCAAACCACATCCGGCCCTCGACAACCTTCAACCGCAATACTACATACACCAACTCATGTATGTACGGAAAACTAAAAAAAATAACAACAACTATAAATGAAATTTATAGCGTTCGCCCCATAAAAACGGGGATTAAAAATAAATCGCTCGAATAAATTGCACCTCTGAAATTAAAACACTCCCTCACACGACACGCGTACTTGCGTCGACAGTGGGTGTGACACCAGGCTCAAATACGAGAGGTAGCGGGAGCGGGTTAGTACATTAAAGCTAATTTGTGATGACCACTAAATTGTGTAAAACACAATGAAAATTAGACAGCTAATGTAGCTAAGTTACTTATTTATGAGTAATAAACTTAATATAGTAGGTACAAAAAGTAAGTTAAATTGATGCGAAATGTTGTTTCTCAGCTTTATTGTATCGTGTCTGCCGGGTTTAAAAAAAATAAGGATTTTATTTTTATTTCAAAGTTAAGAATTTGTGCAATTCATAATTTAATCGCTACCACTTATAAATTACAGCTAAACAGGGTGTAGGGAGGTACGATTGTCCATTGTTCTTTTAACAGCCGTTCGCTTGTTAGCGGGACGGAGTAACGCGTCGCGTCGCCATCAAGGTGACGCCAAGAGCGATTAACAACGGCGACGCGACAACATACCACTTCGTATGCACCACACTACGAGTAAATTGGCAAACGCTTATTAATTTGTAGAACGGATTATTACAAGTGTAGGGGATAAAAATATGAAGTTGTAATACCCCTCAAACGTGGGTAGGGGGCGATAATTAATCTATACGTCAGGCTCGTCAACGAATCGCACTTATAGTGAGTAGTCTTAGAGTAGTATTCAGGTCTCAAGTCAACGTTAAATCCAAAAAGGGAGTCTATGTTTAGGATTCCGAACTGTCGGTCGAGACCCTTATTCTTAAAAACCTGAAAAAGGGTTTTGGATATGTCTGCTGTCTTAAGAAAAACATTAAGATATTATTATCATTCATCACTTTACTAAATTTCTGTTTTTCGTTTTATTATTTAATGTTGCCTCAATCCTTTTCCGTTAAAATCATCCACGTAAACAGTGTAAAAAAATGAAATATTCAGTTCTCTTGTTTACATGACATTCTTTGCCCAATAATACTAATAAAACCCTAACTCTGAATTCAATTAACTCGCAATACGAAAATTGCAGGACTAAAAGAATAAATAAAAACCAAAGATCTTCGCATTCGATGCACGAACTAAGAAAATTATACTAACCACAAAAAAGTCGGTACAAAACAATGAACTTACCCCACACCCTTTGGAAGGCCTTAATCAAGGGCTGGCCCAAATTCGCCCACAAATTGCATCCAATTGTTCACTTTTTTACCGCGTGTTTGCGAGGGTTGAAAGTATTGTCTGATCTCGCCATCTAATACATGAGTATTGAGGACCAGTGGACTGTAAACTGTGCCTACACATAATTGTGCTAAAGGATAATTTTGCGTGTGATTACACAACTCTTATTAAAGTGAACATGACAGTACTGTCTTGGCCATTTCTCTTAGAACAAGAAGACGTGGATCAGGATTGAAATCATAATATGATGATATTATTAGCGTGTATAAATATAATTAGGGTTATACTCACAAGATGGTTTGCTCTAGTTTGAATAAACTTAAAAAATACCTTTCTCTGATAACTTAATAAAGGACTGTTAAATAGTGAAGATATAAAAAAAAGAAATATCCTCACAAATCTTACACACCGTCTGATCCAAACTAGGCAGAGCCTGTACTATTATAACCAGATTGCTGATAAACATACTTATAATTTTTTAAATACAAACATATTATAGATAAATGACACACACAGGCACAGAACAAATGACCGTGCTCATCTCACAATATTTGTTCTGAGTGGGAATCGAAACTTCCGGCTTAGCAGTGAGGGTCAGTATCCACTAGACCAACTGGCCCGTCCAGATATATAAATTGTTATGATAAATCTCTAGAGTTAAATGTTTGATTGTTTATTATATGCGCAGATTTCTAAAATAATCAGTTAGATTTGTTTAACTCTTTTAGTATTCGATTAAATAATCAGTGAAGAAGGTTATAGGAAATGAAACATTCCGCTTCGACGGCAACGAGTAAAGCAAGGATTATATGTATTTGTAAAACTGCGGCAAGCCAGTAGTACGTATAACTAAATGGAATATGAAAAATTAATAATATAAAAAAAAATTGGTGATTCTTCGTTTTTGTTCCACCTGGGCTGTTCTTAGTAGTATTAAAACCTCCCTCTCCCACTGATTTGGGGTGGGGGGGGGGGGGTCAAAGGGCTGTAATCCACTTGTGACATTTGAGTTGCAGATTTTCATGGGCGGCGAAAGCCACTTACCAGCAGGTAGCCTATTCGTTGCCCCCCCATACCATGAAAATAAACAAAAATAATCAATTAATTAACGTCACAAAAAATATCCTCGACTGCCAATAGGTACAGCTACTTATAGTAAGACAAATACAATTTCGAGGGAAAAAAAGAAAATTTGTATATAAAAACTCAAATCAAAAGAAATACAGTAACGGGACAGACAAACAATAGCTTCTTAAGTATCTTCGTATCTTTAGATTAGATAAAATTTGTGGCTTCTATCCACACCGCAAAAACCCTTTTTAACAGATACTATTCGCAAAGCGGATTAATTTTTTAAAGCGGGTTAAATTTTTTCCTCTTTTTAAACGAAAGCTGTCAGCACTCCATAGTTTGAGTATATACCTTTCGATAATATCTAATAGGTAGTTTCTGAGGATGATTCTATACAAACGGGATGCCACTCGACAAAAATTGAGGAAGCTACACAGTTTGAAGAGGTGCAGATGTTGATTCTATTATATTTAAGGTTTTGTTGTTATTCATTGTGTTCGAATATCATTTTTGCAAATGGATTTTACCAAAGAGATAGACACACAACAAGGCCGAAATACTTCACGATTACGTTTATTTAATTGAAAACTATTCAATTTAAAAAAAAACTGGTCTGAGGAATTTTTTGAAATGATTAATATACCTACTATACTAATGAATGATTAATATACCTAATATATATACAGTTGCACCGTTATCTATACATTATTAATCAGTAGTACCGTCATCTTCAACAAACTTTAGTAGTCTACTGTGGGACATGGGCGTCTCCTTAGAAAGGAGGTTTTGGCCTACTATACCACGCTGCGCGCTGGTCAGACGGGTTGGTACAGGGTTTGTTTCAAGTTTTCCTTCTCTTTGCTGTGCTGTGTAGATCTATAGTATATACTAAAGAAAGTTATTTAGCTGTTTACGCACGCGCGTGTGAGACCACGGGTATTAGCGTCTGTAACAAAGAGTGACTCCTCTCCTGCAGAAGGGCGTATCTGTGTTTGCCACTAGTAGTTTTCAGTAGTTATAGGTGTTCAAAGTAGTATTTTTTATTAACATAAATCACTCATTGGTGTGAAGGTACATCTGCTCTCGTAAATGCTTTGGCGAAAGGGGACGGAAATGTGTAACAGAAAGTCGGGAAGCGCGCGATTTGATTTGACAAATTAGTGCGTTGTGTGACTGACATTAGTCAAATATTACACACCATTTGCGACTACTGTAAAACTCGATCGGTTTTTAGAGCGTGATAATTGGCAGTTTATAATTGACGTGACATATTTTGCCAATTAATTGGAAAATTGGGAGTATTTTGAAAGTAAGATAGATCTATAACAAAGGAAGGTAATGGTAGAAAAAGGCTATTGCTTATATAGATGATATATCTCAAAACTTTAAATAGATATTTTATTGTGAAGTAGACAAATTGTTCATCTACAGTTGTAATCTATCGATATCGTCAAGTAGGTTGTGAAAAAGGCTCTGAGTAAGAGAAGTTATAACCTTTCCTTAATTTGATGCTCTCGCTACAGAATATGACAATGACAAAAATCTTCAACTAATTGTTACACATCATAATAATCTTTCCATTTTAAACTGTAAATATTGTATGAAACATTGACATTATAATTTGAGCTAACAGCTGTTTATTTTCCAGATGAGCTGATGCATTCTGCGGCGATGGGTGGTGGAGCCCTTTTCGGGTGCTCCTCGGCTGGCCACAGCGGCATCAACCAGCTGGGTGGAGTGTACGTGAATGGCAGGCCGCTGCCGGACTCAACGCGACAGAAGATCGTGGAGCTGGCTCACTCTGGCGCACGGCCCTGCGACATCAGTCGGATACTGCAGGTCTCCAATGGATGCGTCTCCAAGATACTAGGCAGGTCTGTTGGTTTTAGTACTCATGTTTATTTAAGCTGAGAAACTCTTGTCTCTCATGTCAAACTCACTCATCAGTAATGGAAATATTGTAAATGTCTTACGACTGTTTTGAAAATGCAAACGATGTTCAATTATAAGATGTCTAAGTCCTGTTTCTATAATTTAATCTGAAGTGTCGGTGACAGTAGTCTGCGGACCTCTTATTATTAAACACCATCTGAGCGTTTGGCGGTTTAAATTAATACTACTGTCACTTTATTCGTTCGAGTTGATATTTAGTGGTTTGAAAGTTGGTTTATTTTAGTGAGATAATAATAGTAATCATGTCTATTATAATTGGCCAGGATATTTCTATGTAAAATTTAGTATGTGCTAAATAACGTTTATCGGAGAGTTAATCAAAAATTCTTAGATTATATACTATGAATTTGTCATTTTTGCAGCGTAAACTGAAATGTATAACTTTATAAAACTGGCTGTACGGCTGTATTTTGTTTCGAATAAAATAGATAAAAACCACCTTTAAAGCGTGTTGTATATTCTCGTAGTGTCAAAATTTAACTTCAATCAGTTCAGAAAAAAAAAACTTTTTGAGTTTTTGAAGCGTACACAAACTAATTTACCTTATTTATATATTAATTCTGGTCTTTCTTTCTTCAGAGTATGCAAGAACGTATACACGATATTTATTTAAGAGACTATAGAGCGCCATTAACGACTATTTGCACATACAGCTTGTGCCTCTTACACGTTATGCACGCTTAAAACTTCGCTTTTAACACGATTTTAAACATATTTTTAAGGCAAATAGGCCCAAAGTACATCCGATGGTATAAATTAAAGCTTACCTTTCCAACTATCACTGACCTTAATTTATTAGTCACGTATTGCCAACTCCGTCTGCCGATCCCACATGAACTAGTAGTAACCCTTATAGCAAGTCAAATTCAATATTCAGCAATTAATTCTTTTGGAAACGTCCTAAAGTAAGCTAAGATAATCACTCTTCGCCACCGGCTTTATTAGTCTTTCATATAAATTTCAAGGCCTTCGAAATTTGGTCCCGAGACAGATACCTAATTATATTCACACAAAGACGATCATCTATCATAAACTCTGACGTTTCTGAGTTACCTACTTACAACCTATAAATACCATTTTTCATTTAGAAAAATTAAGGTGCGACCACAATCGGAAATGTTGCGTTAAGTACCACTGCAATAAACATAGACATCATTTCATAAAACACCTTGTCAATCACGTAATATTTTAAAATTTAACGACTTAAAATTTAATTGTTGACTCTTATTGTTTTAAAAAAAAATGCTGTAACAAATATGTGACTTTTACCATAGTGATAGTGATAGTCTACCATAGTGACTAGTACCAGTATCAAATAAAGAATTTTATCCTTGAGAGCAAAGAAATCTCCATATTATGTAATGTTTAAAATTAAAAAGTTCTAAATTCTCTCGACTAACGAATCATTAAGAGGTTATCTTAATTTTTTATGGTGTATATTATTTATTTCAGTAAGCACCTGTAGTGTAGATAACAATTGAAAAATAATTTAATTGCAAAACGAAAGTAGAATACCTAAGTACCTATGTAAAAAGTTTTTTTGCTAATATGGCAGCACCCTTATATTTGAAAAGTATTAATACTATTAATACTTTTCAAATATTACTGGCAAATAAAGTCTTGAAGCTTATTCTTCACGAAAACAAGCACCCATAACAATTAAAACGAACACTATTACATGAATAAATGGATTACTTAACACAAAACCTATTGTGGAATTAACAAAAGTCATAAGAATCGATTATGTCAAGCAAGATGGGGTCAAATCTTGCGCCACGCGTTCACAAATTGACGGAATTCCCATAATACCGCCCAAGGAACCGCACAATGGGCTGAACAATAAGTCTTGGACAAAATTAAAGAATATTTCAATGACTTAATCAATACAATAGTTTAAGTTTACATTCCCATACAGCATTGTTTTTGTTGAATGCTTGACGTGTCAGCAGGGCGCTAGGTGGGAATCGACATCGGGTGTCGACATTGGTGTACTAAGGGGTGCCGGTTCTAATTTCGTCGGCAATTTTACTGTTTGATTGCGATTTTATCTGGAGATCACGGAGGATTCCAGCCCTCTATCGGAGTGCTTATTGAAATGCCCTCAGTAAATTGTGAGTATTAATTGTGAAGGAGTTGTTTCAAGAGTAAGCTTTTGTTATTTTTATTTAGTTTAAAGCCCATATTGAAGATACATAAGTTTTCTTCCTAGCAAAACCAGACAGGCGCTCATGGCAATATATTATTCACGCGATTGCAAGCTTTATTTCTTTTGCCCGTAGATCTCTAACGATCCGGTTCACTCATTAAACTTAATAGTATTACAGAAATGGTAATAAAACAATTGTTCAACTGATGGTTACGTAATCATGATCCATCTAGAGTTTGCTGATGTGATCAGAGAACATCGCAACTCTGACGTCAATCGTTTCACCTATAACCATGAATATGAAAACCTATACAATACATTCTATTGACACATCGTTGAGAACAAAGGCACCAAAGTCAACTGAACAATATAAAAGTAAAAACGTCAATCAAAGAGCTAGACTCATTTTAATATAGGGTGTGCCTTACAGGGTTGTCCCACGACCGCCCCTAAATAAAAATCAAAATACAATATTATTTTATAGTAATTGGCACCCCTACCGGGAGACCTGCTTGACGCCACTTCAAGAGATCTTATAGGAAAAATAAATTTTGCTCAGCGGACCCCACAACATTGCCCTCTAGGCGCACGCTATTATTTTGTAATGTTTAACAAGCAGTTAAGATATTGGGGAAACAAGTTGTTTTTGTATTCCATAAAATAGGAGCATTAGAGATTTATTCTATGTATACGTATTTAAAAACACATTTGATTTATTAATTAATATCTATTTCTCACAGTTTATTCCGCATATGGACACTGTACCGCTCCTAAGTGTCTTAGTGTGATGTTTATAGCCTACTAGCTGTACCCTGCTACACTTCCCTTTGCCATATTATGGTTGCATTGATGAGAAATGAGGAATTATTAAAAACAATCTTATATTTGTATATTTTGCCAAAATTTGAGTTCATTCGGTGCAGAACTATTTGAGTTTTTGAAGCGTACACAGACTAACTTAACATTTATATATAGATACTAGCTGACCCAGCAAACGATGTTTTGCCGGGCCATCTAGTTTAAAAATAAAATTCTAGTTTGGGTCACCCTTACCATCGACCTATTCTCAAACTTACTAAATATACACAAAAAAAAACATAAAAATCAATGAAGCCGTTGTGACACGAGATTTTTATATACATATTAGATAATATTCCTCATAAAATGTTTCATCCAAACAAAAATAATCATTCGAATATGACTAATAAATTAGGACGTAATGTTTAACAATTATTTAAATAAAATTTTTGTATTAACGTTTGTTAATAACTGCCCGTTGAACGAACGTAGCACTACTGAAGATACAGTTAACTTATAAGGAATTTCATTGCTGCATCGCACTATGCATTTATGATGGTGGTAATACACGCAAAACACTGATATTACACATTGAAGTTTTCGGAATCTTAAAATATTATATAAATACTTTTTTCAAATAGCAAACAAACAATAATGTAAGCAACCTTCTCACAAGAATTTCCTCCATATCTGCAAGATCACGATTGCCTATCAACAGTGCGTCAGTTAATAAAACCTTACCGAAAAATAAAACTTATTGCATTCGTTAGTTCCGTCTCCGGTCTGGAGATTCTGACGGCTGCAAGTGCCAGTGTTGTTCCCACACACCCCTGGACATTCTTATCGTGCCAATTACTGTAGGAAAGGGGTACAAAAGTGTTCCTTACGCCGCAGAAGGGCCAGCAGGACTCCTAATTAGAGGGAATTCCCGCTGTTAGTCGCTTTATGAAGATGTTTAATGGAAAACTGAAGTTCGTTTTGTTAACTTTTTGCGAGTACATTAAAATAGTTTTAAACTGATTAAAATCTTTCTTTTATTAGTTTTTATTCATAAACTTTTGCACAATAACCTTTTTTCATTATTTGATAGGTTAGAAAGACTATAATAAGTGAATTTTTATATTGAAATTAAATAGAACTAATCTTGAGTATAACTTACACAGAAAAAAATTTTGATATTATTAACTTTAAAAATAATAAAAATATCCCATAACATGCTTATAAAAAATTGAAAATCTCCTCCTTTTGAGATTGCTTAAAAAAATGAAAATTTCAACAACACTTTCACAACTGGAAATTCTTCATAAGACATTACTCCTTGATTAGAACCTTCTTTTCAGTCCGAAACTAATCCAGTTCTAACATCATTCTAACCTACTTGTAATTGGCAACGTTACAACTGAACAGTGAGCTACCACGTCAACCCTGCCGTTTTCTAACAAAATATCGTCGATAAAAAAAAATCGATACGTAATACATTGCTTTTATAACATGTTGTCAATAGGGCGTATAACTTGGTTACGTTAAACAACCACTTCAAAAACAATCTCGTTTAAGTGCCCAATTGTAAGTGTCCCCGGATACTTTATCTACATCTAATCTTCGACCCCCTGACGTCACTTTTAGTTGGTATTTAGTTCACTACAGTTACATATCCACTGAACTGTGTGATGATGGGGTTGGCGAATTTAATGCTGTTTAGGAACAAAACTTGTTAAGAAACAAAAAGAAAACTAAGGACTAAAACGAAGAGTCTTATTCTTACAAACGTGATTTACTAACAGATATATGTTTAAACAGATTTTTTCGTTCTTCAATACCTGTTTTAAGGATTTAATTAAAACAAAAATGGATCTGAAGTTTAACGGATATAAGACACAAGAGAGTTTAACAGCAAAGCCTTGTTTCATAGACTTGGATGATACAACCTTACCTACATGTTTTTGGCTAATTTATACACACGTTATAAGAAATCTACAAGAAAAAACGTTTTCTTCTACTCTTGCTCAAATGCAGAATGTAAATGCTAGATCATTATCATCATCATCATCAACGGCCTTTGATAGTCCACTGCTGGACGTAGGCCTCTCCTTAAAAAGGAGGTTTTGGCCTACTACTTGCCATACGGGTTGGTATAGACTTTGTGTCAAGTTTTCCTTTTCTTTGCAGTGCTGTTGTTCTGCGTAGTTTGCTCCCTTAGTCGGCTCTTACGACACCCATGGAATGAATAAGGGTAGTGAAAATCTGTATTCTTAATCCGTCACCATACGAAAAGTTAGTTAGAAACGCAAAATATGAATCCTAGATATAGAGACGAAAAAAAAAGAGGTTTGTCGTACATCAAAACAGCGTAACTGCGGGTAATTCGTATACTACTACAAAGTGGTTGTATGAGCAAGCAATGGAGTCGGAACAATGAATTAACGTCGGTTGAACGGCGCGGTGGCGACAGTAAGGCCGAGCGACTGATTTCGATCAATTTATTATTGTTTGATGCAATAATTGTTAGATTCAGGGACGATTTGTTTGCTATTCTGTTGTGTTTGCGGTAGTAATGTCGTTGCTTGAGTAATGTGGTTTCCGGGTAAAGTAATTATTTTATATTAAGTAGATTCTCGTTAAGTCAAATTAATTCTGTAACGAAGTGGTTCGTTTGTAAAAGTAATGGTGGGAGAGCCATGCTTTGGCATATTTAGTGAGGGAGAGTAATACCAAGGCCTTACAACAATCCATGAATGTCCAAAACCCTCCATAACCCCCCCTCTATAACCCCTCCCATCATTTAATTCTGAGCGTACAAATACCAGCGCATTTTGACTCTTGAGCTGCAGATAACAAAGTACGGCGATATTCAATATCAGGTGTCAAGTTTGCCTTCTTTCTATAACACAAAAAATACCTTAAAAAATATCATTTTTTTATAAAAGAGGGGGCAGAAGAACAGAAAGATCACCTGATGGAAAATGACTACCGCCGCCCATGGACGCCTGCAACTCAGGAGTCACAAACGCGTTACCAACTCGATCATAGATTAAAAATCTTCATATCTATTTAGGTTTGTAGATTTAGGCAACTGCTTAGAAACTGATAGACCATAATTTACATTTAGATAGCAATGTACTATTATAAGAAATTTATAAAATAATAAAATTAAAGTAAACGAATATACAAATGTAACACTAACTGACCTGTACAATGTCGTCTGCATTTCTCAAAAGTAAATTTCCCCGTTTTTGCAACCTTTTTCATTGATGCTTTGCTCCTATTGGTGGTAGCGTGATGTTAAACAAACGCTTCAGCTTCATAATATTACTATGGCTTTACTGAATTCTTTAAATGTTTTATTAATTATTCCCAAAAAGGGCAACACGTCATCAAAGTTCATTGAACTTAAGGTTCTCAATTAAAAAGCAGTACAAGGGAGCTTCCCTTACGCCCTTCTCGTGGCGCCGCAGGCGAAAGCGATTACGACCCTGGCTTTATTAAGTACGTAAATGTTTATCGACAATACCTAAGCAAACTTTATCGACAGATGACATTCTCGATAAGGGACCGACATGTTTGTTATTGCTTTATAATTACTTGTAACGGTTTTCTTAGAATCGAGTACCGACTTCCATTTTGTGATTGTGTGTGACTTGAGTAGGTTAAGTTTGTCTATGGCTGGGTGACCATTCTTAACACATTGAGACCCCTCGGTGTCTCGTAGAGCAATTGTCAATTGAACATCGGTAACAATCATTATCAGCCTATCGCAGTCAGTGGACTGCGAGTGAGCAGTGGCTGGACATAAGCCTCTCCCATTGCACGCCACTTAGATCGATTTTTGGCTTCTCGCATCCAACTCCTGCCAGCCTTCTTAGGTATACGCAGGCGAAAATAATTATTTCCCGAAACTTAACGAATTTCTAAAGCTAAGCGATATTTTATATTAAACAATATCTACTTACACCAATACGAGGTCGATTGTTGTCCTAAATATCGACACATGTCGCTCCAACAATAGATACACGAACATCCTGCACACGACCCAACATCTTTACACCCCTCCAAACAACAAACAACCTTATTCCATATAATAAAGGAGTATATTCCACCGGCGTGATTAAGAGAATTTTGGCAATGCTTTGTATAGGCACTCCAAGATAAGGGGATAGGAGATTATGTCTGTAATTGTATTTTAATAGTACTTTAGTAAGGGAAGTTTTGATAGTCGATTGTACGTTCTATCGTGACAGATTTAAGTTTCTCAGCATTATATAGTCACCTAGGTTTTGTCTGTGGCTTTGTTTGCGTATCATATAATCATTTTCTTCTGGACAATAAGCCTATGTGCTCTTCCAGACTATAATCTATTTCTAAACAAAACTTGATACAACTTTGTTAATCTGTTCTGGTGATTGAGTAATAAATATCAAACAAACTTTCGCGTCTATACAGGGTGGGTAAAAAAGTTTTGAAGTAACAATAAAAACAAAAACTATTGTTGAAAGTTGATGTTAAAGAACAAAAATAGGCTTAACTAACTTATTTTCCATATCATATGTGACATATAAATAATTTGTTATTTTGAAAATTGAGCAAAAAAACTAAGCTCATTCGTCGTCTTCATCTTCCAAACTAAATTCAGCTTTGCACGCAGATATTACGAGACGGGGTCGATTAAGCCCCGCGCCATCGGAGGGTCAAAGCCACGAGTCGCCACGACCCCAGTAGTCTCCAAGATCGCGGACTACAAGCGGGAGTGCCCCTCGATCTTCGCGTGGGAGATCAGGGACCGTCTGTTGAGTGAAAACGTGTGCAATAACGACAATATACCTAGTGTGAGTATTGTGTGGTCTTCTTTGCTTTTATACTTATTTTAGCATTTTTTTTGTTTTCAACTAGTGATTTTTAAGATAACATTTTTTTCCATCTGTCACTAAGAATCACTAAGGAATTCCGTACACTGCCCTGGACGTTTGTTTCTCTACCAAAGAGAATAGACTGGTGCCTGTTTTGTTTTGCGTTTTACACAACGTACTTAGAAATGTGTTTCCTCTGAATTGTATTATTTAAAAAATGTAACAAATTAAGTACCTAATCATTTACCGCTGTTTTGTACTCCTCTTGTCAGTAGATAAGGCATAAATACGTAATAAACACAGAAAAAAAAAAATACTTAAACTGGCTTTCCCATTTATAACATTGGTTAGAACTCCAGTAACTCTTTCTAAAGATTACCAAAGACAAATTATACACAATACATAACAGATATCCAACGACGAACCGTCCGAATGTCAATCAAACATCTACTAAATATAAACCAGTCAAAATATTATCGCAAATACGATATATCTAATTAAAACTCACAAAACATATGCTCCTGCCCATTGTGCACAACCTCCAAATAATCTGGACAAAATTCAGTGACAATAACTTCGAATAATCCAATTTCGCAATTTTACATTTTGGGAGCATATGTTTTGGACAGCGCGGGTCTATTGTCCGAAATCTTTTCAAGATGGACCGCTCTTCGAGGACTATAGTTCTCCATATTCTATTCTGCTATTGATAATGGCTTATAAAATTTTCGTTCGGAATGTTTGATGGCATTTTATTAGGTCTTTGTGTGGGACAAAACCTTGCCCATTGTGCAACGGAGTTCATAATTTTTTCTATGCGATGTTATTAGGAGTCTGTCAACTTTTATGTCAATAACAAATTGAATAACGAATTGTGCTGTGATAATATTAAGTGCTCAAAGGGCAATTGACACAGAAAAAAAATCTTTAGAACCTAAAAAACAGCGTTCAGATTGTAAGTATAGCTTTATAGACTTCTGCTCTAACAAAATATCAACAGCCTTCAGTAGTCCACTGCTGGACATATGCGTCTCCATAGAAAGATTTTGGCCTACTTTACCACGCTTCCCAGACGGGTTAATAGTCGGCTTTGATTACTCCCACGGGATGAATAGGGTTGGTGACACTCCGTATTAATAATCTGTCACAACATTAATATTTTAATAAACCAACCAAATTAGAAAAAATGTTATAAATTTTTAAACATTATTTTAATATCAGTTACACCTAAAGATTTTTGAAGGACAGAGAGACACGTAAGAAAACTTTCGGTAGAGTTTTGCATGAACTACTTTTGTTGTAAATTTTTAACCGAATACCTGAAATTTTTAAATATCATCTTGTAAATTGAGATCAAGTTTACTGCCATAAACCACCCCATTACCTACAGGGCATGAATATTAAGTGATTAACTCTCAGGGAAAATGATAACTGAATGTTTAACTGATTTAATTCTGGTTCTGTCTATCACTTAAATATCTCATATAAATGACATCTCTGATGCTAAATAAAAAAACTAAAGATATATTCAAAAAGATTTAAAACTATGCACCCAAAGTCGCAATAACAACAACATCATAACATACTTGTAAGAGTAACGAAAGCCGGCAACATTCTATCCCGCAATTAATGAGAAGACTGAAAAACCCTTAAAATATAATAAAACTGCGAAAAATATCACGTACAAGATATAAAATAAAGCTATCGGTGAAGTGACACGGTCTGTAATCGAACCTGACGGGTCCAACATCTGCTTGGTCAATCATGGATAAAAAAATAAAAAAGTTAAAAATTGGTATTTTTAGGGTTCTGTGGCTGGGGCACGGAATCAGCTCGTTATGCGTAGATTTTACACTTATCTAACTGTTAGTTTTTATTAGGTTTATATAGGCTGTTTTCCGCAACCTCACGTGAAAAGGTGTAATTTACGTTGGTGAAATTAAATTTTTTGGAGCCACTCCAACAGTGCGAGCCGGTGTACCTATTGTGTACCTCCTGATAATCCAGACGGACAAAATGTCATCATAATTAGTGGTGTTATAGCAATACTGACTACATAAATTATCACACATATTAACAAAAAAAATACTAAAACTTACCATTCTAATGTCTTAATTTTTTTTCTTAAACGTCAAGGACCATCTGCTCCACTCTGTTTATTTCAATTGACATTGAACCAAAATTTAATAATGTCACAATTTCAAAATATCACCTTTTTGTTCCGATCCGTGGCACAAAGTAAACACTGGGTGACATATTGAATAGATACCAGAAAAAATCTTTTTGTACTCTCTTGAGTGTTGAGAACGCGATATATTGGTTTATATCATGGAGGCTGTTCATGTTTGTCATCATTTTTACTTCTTTTTGTGAAAGAACGTGAGGTTTAAACACGGGCAATAGTTAGAGCACAGGTTATATGGGCTTGATCGACGGGAGTGTTCACAGATAATACGGCTTTTCACTGAGTGACTGAGGTTTTCGTTGGAACTACTTCTTCCTCCTAAGCCTGGGCCGGGGGTGGAGGGTGGGGGGGGGGGGGGGCAGTCAAGAGTAGCACCTCCGTACCGCATCTTAAACAGATACTCCTGTTATTTAATTGTCGTCTCTAAATGAGGGTCGTCAATACAATAGTGGGATCAGACGGCCGTGTGTGAGTAGTAGTATTAGTAATGTTATAAGAAACTAAATGCATTTTAACTCAAAGCTTTTATTGCGTATTAATTAATTTGTCTAGTCACCTAGTCTTTCATTTACGAAGCTTAACGTGATAAAATTTTCCCCTAGTTTTACGAGAGGTAGGTATGGAACTCATAAAACTAGAGGAAACTTTAACGAGTGGCTAGTAGCTTTGTGGTACCATATAGACGAGTCTGCTGATCAAGTGGTTAGTGGGTTCGTGGTTCGATCCCCACTCAGGATACCTAAATAATGGTGTGATTAGCACAATAATTTGTTTTGTGTTTGGGTGTCATAAAATATGAATGATCAGAAACAAATATAAGTTTAGGTATACCTATCTCTATAGCCTGACGCCTGTAAATCCTGAACAATAAGCAAGCGTGTATCACACATAGGAATACGTTGTTAATAACGTCTTTCCAGCATATGTACAAAAAATAAGTTTGCTCAACCCGGGAAGAAAATACATGACCTCGTCATTGTATGTAGGTACATGGCTGCCTGCGCAAATCAACCAAGGACATTTTTAAATATAAAGTTAAAATAGCATGTTATTTTTTTATACCAAATATCACAATACCTAATCATAATAGATTTCTAAAACCTATCTTTATACAAACGAATTTAGAGGAAGCCAAGAAATTGAGTCTTGACTCTTATGTGTATGAACATACCTACCACATAGAGCCTTACTTATAACTTATCATAAAAATACCCTACATTATCCACCCCACCTAACAAGAGGACACAAAATCGAAATACTGAGCGCCCCTAGAAGATTCGGCGCCAAAGGGGCTATTTTTATGACTGTCGTACCTACGCACTCGGCCCACTGGGCAAATAGGTGAAAGGGATAGGGTGATGGCCCATACGTGTGTTGGAGCGGGATGGACGTATGTCGTTGGGTTCCGTTGCCTAGTCATAACGGTCGAATGGGCGTGATGTTTCTTACCAACTAAAAGCGGACAAAAATACGTGGAACAATCGACGGCGGCCTAGCTGCAGAACGGTGTAAGTGGAAATGTGTCGCGACGGCTTATAAGCTGTCAGACGGGCTATGAATATTCTTAGTGAACTTGAATATGCAAATCATTTATATTGGATTTCTCTTAAGTTTTGTTGTTCATTTTAAGTGTCTTAAGAAGTTCTTAAACTGTTTCTTTAAACTAGTACTTGGTAAACCTGGGTCGTAACAGGTTTTAAATTTTAATATTATGTAATGATGAGAACAACTTTCATCCAAATAAAGATATACCTACTTACATATTATTTGTACTTCTTAAAAGTGTATTACAAAACCTAGAAAACAATATGAACTACAAGAGTTGAGTACTAACCAACTTAAAATATCTAATCAGTTTTTCAAAAGAGATTTTACACGCTTACGCCTGTTTTCTCCTAGGACGTGTGTACAATAATTCCACGTTTACGCGTGAATGCACAGAATATTCGATATCTCTTTCACACTTGCGGTTATGCTTTAAGGATCTGCATTGAGTTGTATCGCCGCCCTTGTCTGGCAGATTAACGTCAACTGTTTATGATGGTATAGGAATTGACGGTTTTAAATCCGGATATATTTTATAGTACATATATATCTACTGTCGTTGTGGGGGAATGAAGGCAGAGGTATAGTGAGTTAAATTATTTGTAGAGGTATTCATAAAGGCTCTATAACTAGGTAAGTATTTAATACTAAAAGCTGCTTAAAACTATTAACAATAACTTCAAGTGAACTGAGTCCTTACCTTAGTATTTTAATGACACCCAACGGCAACAAAAAAAAACTTTTATGGTCAAACTCATATAGGATGTTTGGTATGTGTACTTAAAAAAACACACTAAAGTTGATTAAAAAAAATAAAAATCTTACTCTATGCAAATAACATTTTCTAAGAAATCGAATTTGAAAATGGAAAACAATGTAGGCAACCGCAGAACGTGAACGAAACGCGGCAAACATCGCCAATCAACAGTTGCCCAAGGACCGTTAAATACGATTTGGAGACATCTAATTTAAATTTAGAATTCATGAGTTCGATCGAGCGAGACACGACGCAAGTGGCCTGATTCTGACTTTGTATCGAAACTAGAATGTTTTTGAATCGTTGGTATTAACTTAATTAGGGAACAGTAATTTCAGAAAAAAAAATCTTTAACGTTTGTTCTATTATTTATCATCTGATAAAAACAAATAACTTACAATTGGGTCGCATACAACATAACATAATAAACAGTGGTTTTGATTGCTACTATTACGGTCACACAAAAATACTTGACATAATCTAAATAAACTC